CACAAGGAAAAAAATTTCAACATGAAAAGACTCAAATTTAATATTACTATAGTTAACGTTTTTTATTATTTTATATTGGAAGAATTGAATAAATTCAATCCGCGTATAACGCGGGAAGTCAAATAGTGTTTATAAATATGGCGAGTCCAATATACAATTATGACATTGTCTTATGATTTATATATTCCACAACGTACATGTTTATCTATCATAATAATTCGTTGCAGTTTATTTTCATGTACACCCATCATACTGATTTTGCATGCACGATTATTCGATAAAGTTAAGTGACACACATAGTTATCTGACATGACTTAACAATACGACAACTGAGGTGACTAATTTGAAGATTATGTGACATTAAGGTGACTTAAATATTCATAGAGAGCTAGAATTTTGACAGTGTATCGGCACTTGGGACTCCTGGAGACTAAAGATTCAGTGCAGAGAAGTTAAGGGTACGTGTCTTTAGGGCACCACTTGACCGCAGGGTTAATTTACTATTTGGCATCTCTATTTCTCATTTCTCTGCCATTTTGCTTTGGTACTTTCTTTATTGCAACAATTGTTGGAAAATTACTTTTTTGGTTTGATAATTTTGTAGGAAAGTTAGTTCGGAAGACATATGTATACAGTATTCCCTCAAAGTATTCATATCCCAGCAATATGTTTTCTCATATTATTTAAAATCAGGCCCGTGGCAAGATGTTTGGATATATTTATCTTCTTAGTGCCGTTTATGTAGCTTATCTTTTTAAGTCGGTTCTAGACGTATTTTAACTTGATCTAAAAATATTTCAAATAATTTAACAGGTTAGGCCACTTGTCTCCACACCTCATTGCAATCCGTACGGACACATCATTAAAGGCGAACCGAGTGAGAGACTGAGTGGTCAAATTCGTAAAAGATGACCAACGAGGAACCAAATGCACAACCCATGTTTTTGTATCAAAAACCCGTTACCCGAGCACTATATTAAATATCAGACATATTATCCAAACAAACATATTTAAATTGGTCATAAATAAGATGATTAATATTTATATTGGTGCGTATGTGATAGGTGAAATATCTAGCATATGCTCCACGGAAGGACTAATATAAAAAGGGTGATTTTTGTTTTTGTTTTTGTAAGAAAAAAAAAAGTGATTATGGGAACCCTACAGTGCACCATTTCTCCAGCCATACTTGGTCTTTCCTAAATGTCTTGACACCGTGGATCATTTCCTCTGGCCCAATATCACCAAATCTCTCTTTCCCGTTTTCTGGAGGAACTCCTTTTAAATTCTCTATGAGTCAACTTCGATCAATATCCGTTTTCTGTATCGGAAACGGAAACGTGATGGAAAAACGGAAAAACTCAATGGAAACGCTTTCCTAAATTTTTTAATTTGGAAACCCAATGAAAACGTTATTTCCATTTTGAAAACGCGATGAAAACGTCGTTTCTATTTTGAAAATGCGATTTTTCATTTGGAAACAAATTATGTAAATTAAAAATTAAAGATCTATATGTTACTTTTAATAAATTTTAAAACATAATTATAAAACACACATATTTTTTTTTTCTTTTTAAAATATTTGAGTTTGAGTGTTGTTTTTAATCTTTTCGTTAAACTATTTTAATATTTATGTATTAGATTTGTGTTGTTTCAAATATTTTTTAAATATAATTTTCACTTATGATATTTTTTGTTTCATGATATTTATTTTATTAATATATATATACACACATATGTATATATAGGTTTTCTAACCGGAATAGTTTAATTTTTGATATTTTTTGTTTCATGATATATGTTTATATATATATATATATGTTTTCCAAACGTTTTTATTTTCTTTTTTTCTTTAAAATTTGTTTCCGCGTTTTCTAACGTTTTGCTTCCTCGTATCCGTTTCCTATTCCATGTAGCTTAGTTTGAAGGGAAATTAGTCACATTTATGAAATATTTTCGACCCTGTGGGACGGGAGTTCCCCGATACCAATTAGCAATACCAAGTTTTCTATTATTGTTGTATTTTATATGATTTGTTTTTTGCTAAATAAGTTTTTTTTTATATATATGTTATAACGAGGGACATATGTATTCTTCATTATTTATCAATGATAGAAATATACTCATAATTCGTGTCTATACATTGTTAGATGCAACTAATCGCTAATATTAATATTAAAAGTCATTTTTACATTCTGATGGTCCGAACAATGAATTTTGAATATTAATATACGGGTGTGAAATCTTTTCAGAAGAAAGGGGTATATGTATTTAATATTTAGAATTCAAACGTTATACAGTCGGTCAGTCATATAAATTGGTTAAGATCAAAACGCGTTACTTGTAATTTTAAGTCAAAAGTGTCACTTAACTTCTACTGATCGTTAGTAATCACCATTGAGATTTGTTGTCCATTGACCTCGTCCATTAAATTCAGTTTCCTACGTACATAGCTTGGCGAGCTCTAATATGATCAGATTTATAAGTAAGCATCTCTTGTAAAATATGCTTACACAATACAGAAACAATTAAATTACTTTGACTTTTAAACCGATATACAAACACGTAATTACCCAATAAAACAAAACCTATTATATAATGGAAGAGTTCTCTTTCTATCTAAGGTGTTCACCTAAACACAAGATTTTTTTGTTTTCACAATAATTTTATTTCAAATGTTCAATTAATATGTATACTTATTGTTACTT